GCTCTACCCCAGACCCTTCATAGCCCCCCCTTCCGATAGTCCAGCATATCTGATAATCCAGCACCCCCTGAGTCCTAACGGTGCTGGATTATCGGAAGTTTACTGTATACATATATATATATAGAGAGAGAGAGAGAGAGAGATCTTTGTAAAAAATGAAACTTCTCATGGGAAATTATTTTTACAATGAAATTTTAAAAATGTATGCATTTTTGGTTCAATTGTTGAAAAAAGTTGGTTTTGTACTTTTGATGGGTTCTATCCCTTCCATTTTTCTTAAATTTTCCCCATTGGAAGAGATCTCTGGTGTGGCCGAGAGGCTCCCTTTTTTCCATATTTGAAAAAAAAGCTGGAAAGAAATAGTAATGCTAAAAGGAAGTGTGAGCATGCTTCTTCTTTCCCTTTTTTAAACTTTTTTCTTTTTACACTGTCACAGTTCAAAATTTTTTTTAAAAAATCGTGTTTTTACCATCACACGCTTGCTGGGGTGTTAACTTCTTTATTTTTATAATTTTTGTTTGTTTTAGCAAAGTTTGCTACTTTTAATTAAAATATTGTGTTTAAAATGGACTAAATCCAATGCATACAGTAGACATTTTTTAAGCACCTTTATACTAAATTTTTATAATTGTAAAAATCATTGACATTAGGGAAGGTTTTATTAATGTTACATTAATATTGTGCATGGTTCCAGAATTACAGTGGCATGAAAAGAGTATCTTCAGAGGCCATGGAACCATACTTTTAATTTCTAGTCATGAAGATTTTTTATGTCCGTTGAGGGAGAGAAGCTTGCTCATTTTATTTAGTGGATGTTGAGGCTCAAGAAAGTAATAATTGTTCTTCCTCACGCAACTGCCTTTGTTGTATAGCTGATTATCCTCAGACTATGTCTCAAAATCATTTATAGACTTATCTTATATTCTTGTCATGGGATTCCACCTTAATTCTATATATATCTTGCTGCTTGTCTTTTTTTCATAAGTCTCAGGATTCATTACATGAGACAGGTTGCACAGCAAAAATGATAAAGATGATAGTTCAGAATCAAGCCTTTACATAAATTGTTTAAATTGTTTGCTATTTGGTGAAAAATACAAAGACTTAGCCATTTCAGTTCCAAATTTGTCAAAATGGATAAAATAATGTATTCCTACCTGTAAGGCTTCAGAGCCAGAAGACACATTGTACAAGAGCTTTGTTGCTACCACATGTCTAAGTAATGTGTTAATTCCTGACATTTATATTGGATTTAATTTTACTTTTTGACAAAGAATTATTCTCTTGACTGGAAGGCTAGACTGGGTGCCTGTTGGGACAGCAGTTCTTTACTCTCTCTAGTCTTAAGCTGTGTGAGAACAAAGTAGAATAATTTCATCCCTAACACAAAAGTTCTATAAAATGATATGTTCAAAGCTGAACATTTATGCCAAATACTGTCATTTATTTTGCATGTACTGGATCGAATTGTTCAAGTGTTGCATGCAACCAATCAGTTTATTAACATCAAAATGTGTTCTTTGTTCGCAGCTGTATGTAATAGCATCCAAAATCCAGTTACAAAGGAAATGCTGTTTGAGTTCATTGATAGGTGTACAGCAGCTTCTCAAGGACAGACGCATAAACATCACCTGGATCCTGATGCTGAACTTATGCCCCCACCTCCTCCCAAAAGACCACGCACCATAACTTAAGGCCGCATGCCGAATGCAAAGCATGTTGTTTACAATTCTACAGAAGGTGAAATGAAAAAGTGTGGATTTAAAAAAAAAGAAAACATTTTCAAAATAGTCATTCTAAGCATCCTGTAAATATCTAGATGCATTTTTTCAAATGCCACATCATGAACCGATGTACTTTTTGTAACTGGCAAATTCAACCTTACTTTATGGGATTTGAAGATTGAAATATCCAAAGGTTTAGACAAGAACAGTATAGAATCAGTGGAAAGCTGCCTTGTTTATACATGGGTATCTTTCACCTTTAACTTATAATGTTGGCAATCTGGAACTGTGAGAAAATATTGGAACACTGAACTTTTTAGAGGCCGTGTTTCAAATATAGTGGTGTTTCGTTTTCTTTCTTTTTATTTAATTAGTTGAAATTTTTCATTCTTAGTATAATTTATATTCGTGTTCCTACATTTCTGAGACTCATGTTCAAGAACAAACAGCAATGTTGTTTGTGCACTGTGTTGGTTTGCAAAACCTTATTAAGTGTACTAATTTTAAAATTAGCTGAGGTGGTTTTTTTTTTATTATTATTAAAGAACTGAATCTTTATGGTTGTAAATAGCATCCTTTCTAAAAGAAATGTGCCGGGTTGTTCTGGGGGGTTGTGTTTTGTTTTCATTTCATTATCTAAAGTGACACACTTAATGTCTGATGGGTCAATTTTAGCTCTGCATTTTAAGTTTATTTGTAGATAAGGATCACACATGAAATCCTTAGTATTAAAGTCTCTGGTTTCAGACAGTTTCTAATGCAAGATGTAGTTCTCCATAGTGAAGCCATTATAAATAATATTTAAAGGTACATCTTCACTGTGATATGCAAGAGTAATAACTAGTACTAATAATGTTGTCTTAGATCCAGGTGCAAAATGGCAAAAGAAATGCCAAACACCACCTTTAAGGAGGAGGTAATTCCAATGGAATAGAGCCCTGTCACAGAAAAAGGGATCCTATGATTAGACAAAAGCAGAGCAAGACATTTATCAGTGGAAATTAACATGCTGAATACCAAGACAGTTTTCAAAACAGTAGTCAATTGTCCTGTGACAATATTCTAATCCGCTGACTTTATTTCACTTATAGCCAGTGATGAAACAAATAGCCTAATGGCTCTTGCTGCAGTACAGTTGGCAGTTGTTCACTCAATTAAGATGGAAAAGCTGCATTCCAACAGACTTATGGAGGCATTGCTCTCAGTCTGAACTAACTAAAAACAAACGTAATTATAAAAGTGCAGTTTTAAAAGTTTTCTGTCCAATTAATGAGCTGGTGTTTATACTTGTTTTTCAATAACTATATAACTAAATATGAGTGATCCAGTCATTCAACAGTCTGATTAACATAATTTCAGTTGATATAATAATCTGATCTAAAATAGTTTATACTTAAATGACTTTTAATGTTTGTAAATAAAGTTAACTCATGAAGTATTTTTTCTATATGGAAACTTTAGGGCTATACTTGGGGGCGGGGCGGCTCCTCCAATTGTTTCAACATGTATAAATATACACTGTATCATTCACATGGTAATCCTCATGTGTCTTTCCTGGGATACTCCATACATGTTTTAGGGCACTGAAGAGGTTAAATAAGTTGCTTTATTTTGCTGCAGTAAAACTTAAGGAAAAAGTGTGCTCTTCAAAGCTCATGTTTCAACCATACATACTTTCTATGTACTCTCTTTATAACAGATATATCACCTATGCACGGTTGAAAAATTATATCCCAAAAGCAACTTTATGAATTTGATATGAAAACCTATGCAACCTCAATGCATCCTTCATGGAAACTCATTGTACATTTCTTTTCTACATAATGTTTGTTGTGGTTTTCCCCAGACTTTCAGCCTTACCATTGTGTTAAGTCATGATGACATATATATTTTATCATCAGTCTTTATTGCTGTTTAAATGTCTATGGTAATTGGAACCTTTTAACTGAGGTATGTGAAAAAGAGCATTTTGTTTTAAATATTCAGTTTATTTCCTCTCTTCTCCTTCACACCTTTTGTCTCTTTATTTCAACAGAATTTTTTTAAGTTTATAATTTGTCATTTTCTTTTGTGCATTTGTAGCCTGCCCTCGATGTGCATTTCACGCAGTTCATGAATGCGCACTCTTGTCCTTTGCATATTTTGACTTTACTGTTTTCTTCCCATCAAGTTTTGCAGTGGGTATATTGAAGGAATTGTAAAGATATTGAGAGATGATCTGATGGTTGGGGAGATCTCTGCTCAGATTTGACTTGAAGTTTTTTCTGCACTGCAGCTCTATAACCTTTGAAAGAGGCTGATCATGTTTGGTTTTCTGTACAAGGTTTTAAAAAAAGAAATGAGAAGGGCAGAGTGAAGGATCAGATAAAAACAATGGAAATTCCACTTTTGTTTTTGTTTTGTTTTGTTTTTTGTTTGTTTGTAAGAATATGAGCCCCACTCTGCTACTAGATATTCTGAGATAGGTGTCAAGGAGGCAAGGAAGAGACTGTGCCAAAAAAACCTGAGAAAAACTAAAGTTGCTCTTAGAATATAGAGTATGAACCCATCCTCTGAGTTGTTTTTTGTTAAATAGTACATGTACAGATACATTTTGCTTTCAATGGAGTTCTCAGAAAATGTCAGTATGTTCCTCTGCAAACTATGTATTAAGTATTTTAATAAAGTCAATGGTTTAAAAGAATAGGTGTTAATTTACTTGTGCTAGTAGTCTAATTGTTTGTGCTTACGATATCCATCCATCCCGTTGCCAGCAACAGGGTACTCAACCAATATTCAAACAGAAGAATTCTACATGTTTTGCAGAGGTCAGAGGTTCAACTCTGTGGGCTAGAAAGCCCAAGCATAAGCATTTCCAGAGAGCTATTAAGTGATATAGTCTTGGCTATAATAAATATTTTTAAAGCAGAGTTTTTCCTTCCTGTGCTGAAGAGGAAACTCAAGAACTGGTGAATCAGAATAACTTTTTAAAATGTGCTAATATTTGTTAAATGTAGGGCTATCAATTAATTGAAGTTAACTCATGTAATTAATGCAAATATTAATGGCAATTTAAAAATTAATTGCAGTTAATTGTACTGTTAAGTAATAGAATATAATTTGAAATGAATTAAATATTTTGGATTATTTTGTACATTTTCAAATAGTCATTTCAATTACAGCACTGAATACAAAGTGTGCCATTACCAATATTTGCACTGAAAAAAAGAAACAAACAAAATGCCATTTTTCATTTCACTTTATAGAAACACTGTAGTGCAATCTGTTTATTGTGGAAGCATAACTTACTTAAAGAAAAAAGACAGTTACCTGTTTTGTAACTAGTGTTCTTTGAGGTTTGTTGCTTATATGCATTCCATGACCCACCCTTCTTCCCCACTGTCAGAATATTGAGCAAGAAGAAACTGAGTGTGGGGGAGCACACACTGCCTCTTATTCAGTGCCGTGGAGGTGCCACTCCATGTGTCATGTGTACTCCCGTATGGGTACTGCTAACAGAAAAACTTCCAGCACTGGTGCACATGGAGAGCAACATACACCTACAGTGGAATGGACATGAGCAACACATCTGGAAGAATGCCAGTTACAAAACACGTAGCTGGCTTTCATGATATCAAAGGCTTTTTTTAAATCAATTTTCATAGCAAGAATGTAGTTCAAGTGAAATATTATCCCTCTACATCTTCCTGTATATTTGATCAGAAGAAAACAGACAAGTTGAGTTCAGAAACCATTAAACTGATATTCTGATAAAATAAATGTTGACTAAATGTTCTATATAGAACTACTTTGTGAAGAAAGATGATAATAAGGTTATTGCTGAAATTGAGCTGTATAAATTGTAAATACTTGAGACAGGAAAAAAATACTTTTTAATTTGTATTAAAACACTCAAAGTTTTACACAAGTCATTAAGAGATTGAAAGTTTTACACCATTGGGTAAACCTCAACTCATATATTTGTCACAGCTACACTGACTTCAGTGGAGCTACTTTGATTTCACTAGCTGAAGATCTGGCATGAAGATCCTGGACCCACTCCAATGAAATGAGGGCTGCACCAAGACACAAGTGCCATTTTGTCTCTGACCCTCATCCAAACTATAAACAAGTACTGAAGTTATTTACAATGCTAGAAAAACTTCAGTTTCTAATCCTGTGAACAGTCATGAAATCGCTCATCTTAAATCATGAAATTGTGACTACTATCATACTTTCCCCCCTTCCAGATGAATTCTGATGTGATTTTAGTGGACTCCATCTTAAGAATGGTTTGAATCCAATGTTTCAGTGCTATTTGAAAGTTTAGAATCCTCTAACTCCAGTGGTTCTCCTTCATACAGGTTTGCTACTGGTAACTGATATTTTTTCCTCAGTTTAGGAAACAAGGCAAGAGGAGTCTATCACAGGAAACTGCCAGTTTTATTCTGTATCCTAACAGCTACACAGGGGGTCTCAAGAGCAACCACCTTCCTAATCTTCACAGCAGAAGAAAAGCCTTATAAGTCATCTCTTTAAAAAACTCTCCCCTCTTTTTCTCTCATTTTGGCTTGCAAAGGAACAGCCTGGAGTATTTGCTCTGTCTTCGTGTAGCTCACCTCTGACTCAGTGCTTCAGTGTATTGGCAGCATTGTGGTAGGGTGCCAAGTTCCAGTCAGAGTGAGAGAGTGGCTGTGCTAGAGTGGTGTAATCACATGGGAAAATATGATCACCACTCTGACGAACCATACAATCTAATGTGAAAGTAGTAAGTTGAACAACCAATAAGAAAGAATGGGGAGAAAGCACTCTGAGGATAACAGTAATAAAAAGAGGTGGTATAAAGGCTAAATAAGCATACGGCTTGAATGGTACCAGCACATCTGAATTTTAAATAAATAGCAGTTGTATATGAGTCCCCCTTTAACCTAGCTATCAGCAGTTGACTTAAAGCCAAGGCAGGGAAGGAAGAGAATCTGAAAGAGAAATGACCTTATAAAATCATGGCAGACGGGAGATTCCAGAAGACTGGAAAAGGGCAAATATTGTGCCCATCTATAAAAAGGGGAATAAGAACAACCCAGGAAACTACAGACCGGTCATTTTAACGTCTGTCCCAGGGAAGATAATGGAGCAGGTAATTAAGGAAATCATATGCAAACACTTGGAAGGTAATAAAGTGATAGGGAATAGCCAGCATGGGTTTGTGAAGAACAAGTCATGCCAAACTAATCTGATAGCTTTCTTTGATAAGATAACGAGCCTTGTGGATAAGGGAGAAGCGGTGGATGTCATATACCTAGACTTTAGTAAGGCATTTGATACAGTCTCGCATGATATTCTTATTGATAAACTAGGCAAATATAACTTAGATAGGGCCACAATAAGATGGGTGCATAATTGGCTGGATAACCGTAGTCAGAGAGTGGTTGTTAACGGTGCTAAATCCTGCTGGAAAGGGATAACAAGTGGAGTTCCTCAAGGGTCTGTTTTGGGACCCATACTGTTCAATATCTTCATCAATGATGTAGATATTGGGATAGAGAGTACGCTTATTAAGTTTGCAGATGATACCAAACTGGGTGGGGTTGCAACTTCTTTGGAGGATAGGGACATAATTCAAAATGACCTTAGCAAGTTAGAGAAATGGTCAGAGGTAAACAGGATGAGGTTTAATAAAGAGAAATGCAAAGTGCTCCACTTAGGAAGGAACAATCAGTTCCATACATACAAGATGGGAAGCGACTGTCTAGGAAGGAGCATGGCGGAAAGAGATCTAGGGGTCATAGTGGACCACAAGTTGAATATGAGTCAACAGTGTGATGCTGTTGCAAAAAAAGCAAATATGATTCTAGGTTGTATCAACAGGTGTGTTGTAAGCAAAACTCGTGAAGTCATTCTGCCGCTCTACTCTGCACTAGTTAGGCCTCAGCTGGAGTACTGTGTCCAGTTCTGGGCGCCACATTTCAAGAAAGATGTGGAGAAATTGGAAAGGGTACAGAGAAGAGCAACAAGAATGATTAAAGGTTTAGAGAACATGACCTATGAAGCCAGGCTTCATGAACTGGGCTTGTTTAGTTTGGAAAAAAGAAGATTAAGGGGGGACATGATAGCGGTTTTCAAATATCTAAAAGGGTGTCACAAGGAGGAAGGAGAAAATTTGTTCCTCTTGGTTTCTGAGGACAGGACAAGGAGTAATGGGCTTAAAGTGCAGCAGGGGAGGTTTAGATTGGACATTAGGAAAAAATTCCTAACTGTCAGGGTGGTCAAATATTGGAATAAATTGCCAAGGGAGGTGGTGGAATCTCCCTCTCTGGAGATATTTAAGAACAGGTTAGATAGACATCTGTCAGGGATGGTGTAGACGGAGCTTGGTCCTGCCTTGAGGGCGGGGGGCTGGACTCGACCTCTCGAGGTCCCTTCCAGTCCTATTATTCTAAGATATTCCTTGCATGGTGAGCAGCATGTCAGAAACTGCATGGATGCTGATTGGAGAAGTGGTCAAGTGGATTTACAAGCATATCATTATTGGCAAAGTGGAGGGGGGTAGGGTTGACTCAGTAAGAGGCAGGAACAGGGAATATAGCGGATGGCAGAGAAATGTAAGACCCAGAAGGCAATGACACGAATCTTGAATTTGATGTGAAGAAGGGAGACAGTTCAGTTTTACAGTTTTGCATGGATGGGAGGAGGAAGTGATAGTGAGAAGGAAAGAGATGATGTGGACTTGGTGAAGAGTTTCCTGAGCAGAGCAGAAAGGTCTCATGTTAAATATGTTGTGGTGGAAAGCAAAAGAATTTGGACACAGAGTGGGAGGTGTCAGAGATACATCCTGAGATGTGGAACTGGTTGGAGAGAGATGAGCGAGGAGCTGGAGAATAGGTATACTTGTGAGTCATCAGCATATAAAGATGGAAGAATTTCAATAACAGAGATTATGGCGATGAGAGACCAGGAAAAAGGAGGTTGAAAGGCGTACAGCTTAGACATCGCAGAAGGACTTTAGATAGGTGAGTAACAAAGGAGATGAGGCAGTGGTTAGGCTATAGGAACTCTGTGCTGGAAAGATCAGAGAGGCGCAGAGGTTAGTGACAATGAGATTGGGCGGTGGGGGGGAAACTTTGTTCTTTACTCAGTAAATTGTTCCAGGAAATAGAGGTGAAGGCAAGGAGACAAAACACTGCAGCCTCCTATGGCATGTGGCTGTTGATGACAAGCACCCAGCAGTCTGAAGGAAGGTTCTAACTGCTGTTCCTCCTGAGCCTGCCTTGTAGGGTCAAGTAACAGAACTAGTGTCGCTTCAGTAGGGAGCACACACAGCCCAAGTGCAAGAATCTTTTGGGATCAGATCACCAAAGAAGCAGAACAAGTAACTAACTTTCTCTTTTCCTCTTTGCATTAACTCAGACATCTCTGTGGTGTAACCCTAGGAAGTCAATTTTCTCCTGACTGCCTGATGAGCAAAGGTGTCATGACAAGAGGCACTTAGGTCAAATCCCTGAATTGGAACTGCGCCACACAGAAATTTCTGAACTAAATGAATGCTGGGAGAAGATGTGCAATGTGATGCATATAGCTTGTAATTATGGACCTCACTATTGAAACTATGGGCCATATACTTGGGCTTCCAGCTGCTTTGTGCAGCCAAGGAAACCCAAAGCAGTCAGAAAGTGGCCTCAAAAGGACAGCTGATGACTCCTCTGGTAACCTAAGGTGGATGTTGCAGGCTCTACACCCAGCATGAGATTTGCTGAGTGAAGTATGGTTCCAGGATCCTCAGGCAGAAGATGGTCCCTTTGAGACAGTTGAGTCAGTGTAACATAGGCTGTTTTGATTTAAGATGGGAACAGAAAGGTGAATTAGAGCCACCTTCCCCAGCAAGTAATGCTTTGTTGCACCCATGGATTTGCATCCCTTTGCTCTGATTGCAGCTCACGGTGACTGGGCACAAATGTATATAGTATTTCAGAGCATATAGAATGCCAACCATACATTTGAAAATCCAGAATAATTTCACTTAACTCTCAAGTTGATAG